ATGTAGCTTCTTGCCGGCCTTCGCTTGTTTGATTTCGCACTTGCTCTTCACTAACGAAAGGCCGCTGTGCAACGCCCGCCTGGCGCTGCCGCCGTGGGGCCGCAGGGCACTACCGTTTGGAGCTGACGGAGGTTGGAGACGGTATTCCGCTGTCGGGCGGGCAGTGCAGGAATAGCTCCCGACCGGAACTGGTGCGTCCAGTTGACAAGGGCTGTGTTTTAATGATCTGAGCCGCGATGGGGGAAATGGCGACGGTGGGGCGACAGGGGTCGCTTTTTTGTGACAAGACAGCGATGTATGGGTCAAGGCGGGAGGTTGTGGTAGGGGAACTGACATGGCGAAGGCAACAGGAGCTGGTGCGGGGTACGACTGGCGGAGAGTCTTAGACACCAACTTTGAACTGTTTCCGGCCAGTTCCACCACCCGCATCATGAGGGGGTTCAACGCAGCCAGCGTGGAGAGGAAACCCCCAGGGAACGCCCCAATCCAGTGTTCCTCCCGTTACCACACCTCAAATCCGGACGCTTAAGGGAATAGTGCTTGGATGGCCAAGCGGCACGGCACATCGCTGACGTTTGGGCGACCGCTGTTGACCATAGTTGTTATGCTCGTCTTCGCGGCGTTTTCCTTGCCAGACAGGTTTGGAACCAAGGCGTGTTCAGAAATATTAGCAAGTCGAAAGAAGGGTGGGGCAGTGGATGCTGCCCTAGAATAAATCTTGATATGACATGTTTTTAAGGTGTGGTTAGACTTTCGCTGCCCGTCTTTGGGCCAGACCTCCCACTTTACCGGTATTCATTTCCTCTCCACCACCACCCTCGCCCCCCATCCCCGGCCCATATCCCGGACAGAATGGCGCGAGCAACGCCACGGTCTGGATCGGCTATACTCTGGCTGCCATTGCGCTGCGGCCCCTGATCAGTTGGTCCGCCGTCACCGACTTTCCCTTGTCGTACGAGGTGGTAAGCTCTATCGCCGTGCAGTACTACTCCTTGACGTATGGCAACGGTGCGACACCATTCGCGGTGGAGGTGCCTGTGGTGCTGGGACCCCTCAACGGTATGGACGGGTCTTTGCTGCTGGCAGCGCAGCCTCCGGAAGATGCGGCAACAGCAACAGGGGTGGTGCATCTAGAGGACTACCTGCAGGACGGTGTCGGGTGGCGTTGGTTGCGGCTGGATGTGAAAGGCGGCGAGAAGGTAGTGGAGGTGTACGGCTGTCGCGGCGGGCTGCTGGAATCGCTGGTGCTGCGGACGAGCACGGGACGTTTGTGGAGCACCGACGCAGGGCCGGGCTTCAGCTGTAGCGTGCCGTTTCGCCGCTCCCGGCCCTCCAATGAGTCGTTCCTGCTGGCGCTTGAGGTGGGGCCATATGGGAGCTCAGGGATGGAGATAAAAGCGGGCGTGGAGCGGGGGACAGAAGCTGGCTTACAGCGGCGGACAAAGGGGTTTAGGACGAGGCCGGCGGGATTAGGAGAAGACGTATCTGTCTGGACAAGGACGAGGTTGGGACAGGAGGGTTGAGGGAAGATGGGGGAAGGGAGTACGCATGCACACATACCGGCATGGTGGGACGGGCAGAGGCATGTGATGGCGGACTTTGTGATCCCCCGTCGGTTAGCGTGTTGCGGCCCGGCGCTGCTCGCTCAAGCACACAAGAAAAAACAAACTGGACTAGGCCAACCCATCTCGCCCTCACCTCCTCAACAGCCGACCCTCGGCTACGCACCTGTAACCGAAAACGCTGCTGTTTGCCATGCGGTGGCGGCGTTGCCCTGGTCGTTCCACGCCAGGTTGACGTTGGCAGCTACGTGGAGGAGCTACGTCTGATCTGGGCCACACCTGCACCCGCACCCGCACAGCCCCCATTGCCCCCTCCGTCCCCGTCTCCCCCGATGCTGCAAGCCCCGCTCTCCGTAGACTACCTGTCCAGCCCCAGCCCAGACCCGAACACCGGCATCTATGGAGGCCCAAATCGGACCGGCCCTGGTAAGGAGGACGCGCTGGGGACCGGTAACGGCAACTCGTCGTACCGCAGGCCTATGCCATCGCCAAGCCAGGCAGCAGAGGTAGTCGAAGAGGATACGAAGTTGGGTCGCACGGCTCTTGGTATAGGGATTGGGACCGGTGTCGGTGGCTCGATAGTCTTGATGGCGGCTGTCGTGGCGACGTGGCTGTGCTGCCGCAGCCGTTGCCGTCTTGTGTACGGCCCGACAGCAGCGGTCAGTGACGAGCCAGCGGCACCAAGCAGCCGCACGAGGGCGGCGTCGGCAGCCGCAGCTGCGGCGGCGGATGGCGACTCTTCTGCAGGCACACTGGAGCTGTCGGATGTGGTGGTGGGCTGTGATGATGTACGGACGGCGGCAAAAGGAGCAGGGGCAAGTGAGTTGCTTAGGACGGGGCTGGGTGCGCATGTTCCCTTGAAGGCTATGGGAGGTAGGTATGTCCGCGCTTGTCACGAACCGAACGAAAGGGCCTGAAGCTGCGAGGGGTACATCGTTGCGCGTCTTGCGGGCTGTTGTGGGGATAAGGGAGCAGGGGCGTGCGGTTGAAGTTGGGCTTATATGCTGCAGCTCATCGGCCGGTTTGGTGCGCAGGGCGTATAGCGGGGTAGCAACTGCCCCGGGGTAGCTTGCTAGAGCTCATTGCCATGCCTATGGGTCTTTATCTGTGCTTGCATGGGCCGCACCACTGCCGCATATGCCACGTTTGCCACAGTGCCACACGCAAAGCGACGCCTCAACCCAAGGCATTAACTACCGCTATCTATCCTTGTATAACTTAACTTTTCGTTCCCTCATGATAACCACTGGTCGCAAAGCATTTGCACTTAAGCACGGATTGTTCCTCCTCCACCCCAACGACGACGGTTTCCACAGCGCCCTCACTGGCCTGGGCGGCCCATGCCGCCCGGCGCCGCTCTTGCGTTTTGTACTTCGGCATGCTAGCCTTGGAACGGTGTCACTACCCTGTAAAATGGTTTAACCACGTGTTGCCCCAGTAATCGCGTCCGTCCCTGCGCCCTGTTGATGTCTGTTTCGCAGACGCCAAGAAGATGGTCACCGCGCCGTCCTTGAATGACAGCACCGAATCAGGTGGCGGCAACACCAGCACGTACTCGAGCGACACTATGCCGCCCATGACCCTGCCCATCAGCATGCACATCCCGATGGGGCTGCACATGGCCTTACCGATGCAGATGCAAATGCAGATGACGCCGCCACACCCGCACGCGGGGGCGGCGGCGGATTTGATGAGGGGAGCAGGGTCGCCGGCAGGGCTTACGTACGGCGGCGGTATGAACATAGTGCCGTACGGTGCGCGAGCGGACGGCGGGAGGGCGTCAGGTGGCGGGTATCCAGGTCCTGGCGCGGGAGGTGCATCTCCTGATCAACAGACCCACGCGATGTTGTTCCAAAGGGCCCTCCATGTGAGTGATCGCTGAGTGCGCATCTCAGTAATATTCCGAATGCATATGTACATGTGTACCTCCTGGGATGCATCCTCTACACCACGGCATCTGCGCACCGACTCCATTCGCACCGCGCAATCTTTGGGAGTTCACGGGTGCTTTGCTGGTCGTTTTTGCTTCAGTCTGCGCTCTTTTTGCTTCAGTCCGCACCCAACTCCAGAATGGAACCTTGGGCGGCTGCGCACCGCACATGCGCTATTTCCTGGCTCCGCATGCACACACACACATACATACGCGAACGTACACCCGCCCCACGGACCCCCGCAGGCCCACCCGCTAGGCCTTGCGTTCATCATACTGACTGATGCTGTTCCCCTCCCCCCTTGTCGCAACGGCGGTCACAGGTCCAGAGGCCACTCGCGGGGCAGGAAGGCTCCAGCAGCACGGCACTGAGCCAGGGCTCCGGGGGCTCCTCCCTGGCGCCTGTGTTCGGCACTACTACCACCGGGACACGGACAGGAACAGGAACGGGCTCGCGTACCGGGACCGGGAACAGCAGCAGCGCCGCAGCTGTGGCCGCCGCGGTGGGTTCGGCCGGCAGCGCATCCACCGGGCAGGGGCCCACCGGCACCGGCATGGCCATATCGTCACTCGGGCAAGAGGAGCAGCACAAACAGGAAAAGGCGCCACCGCGGCCGCTGCCGCCACCACCGCCGCAGCGGCCACCGGAAGAGGGGCCTGAAAGGGCACCGAACCCTGTAGCCGTGGCGGACGCGACCGCCGGCACGTCGCCGTCGGGATTGTCGCCGATTGCGACCCATGGGTCAACCCACTACGCGGCGGAAGAACTGCTACTGGGCCGTGATGTCATGGTGGACGTGGATGACCCCGCGACTTACCTCGGGCATGGTAGGACAGTTTCGGGGAAAATTCGGGGAGGTATACATATAGGGCTGTGGAGACGACCAAGAGCCTTGGGGACGTCACTGCCGGCGGCCGCGTAGCTTGGTACCCATGCCAACCAGTTGGTCCTCATTCCACACCCCCTCACCACCAGGCACGTCGGGAGTGGTGCGTCGGGGCCTGCTACGGCAACCCGACGGCAGTTGGCGTCCAGTGGCCGTCAAGCTGCTAAACTCTCCGCCTGGGGAGCAGGCCGCGGACGCGTACAACCGGCACCTAAGAACGCTGGTGCAGGTAGGGCCCCACCAGGGCGCTGGGGCGGAAAGGGGTGGATGGACAAGATGCTTGGATAAGGATAGGATGGGGGAAAGAAGAAGGGCCGGCCGTAAAGCAGCGGTTGTCCCGTTGACGGGCTGCGGGGGGGGGGAGGAGTGTGCGGGTCGACCACATAGAAAAAAACCGCATCGGCTTCTTCTCCCTTCTCCTCCTCGCCCTCGCCACCAAGCCAAGTGGTGTTTCGCTGCGTGGAACAGGCCCTAACCCTCTTTTAAGATGGCGTTTTTCCTTCCTTAAGGCTAACATCTTTTCCTAAACCCTAACCTCTTTTCCTGACCTGACGGTGTTGGATTTTCTTCTCCCAACCCTCTACCTCCCCGGTCTGGGTTGCACCCTGGCCCTGGGCTCCGCAGGAGGTGACCATTCTGGGGTCCCTTCGCCACCCCAATATCGTGCAGCTTCTTGGGGGCTCCCTGCAGCCAGCAGCCTCATTCCTCGTAGAGGAGCTCTGTGGGAGGACACTCAGCCATGCAATCTACGATGGTGCGCGGGGCCGCCCGCGGGGTGCACAGTGCAACATGCGGGCAAACCGCGGGTTCCTTACGCTGGTTGTCGTGTGTCTGGTTTAACCTGGCAGTGTGCGGGATCCTGGATTTCGAAGCCTGCCACACCGCACCACACCTTCACAAGCCGTTATGCCAACTCACTAATCCTTTTGCTTGCCTTGTACGTGCGCTGCGCGCGGCTTGTACTGCGCTGCACGACTCGATATAACATTTCAGGCACGACGCCATACAGCCTGGAGCTGTTGCTGCGGTGGAGCTGCGATATTGCGCGCGGCCTGGCGTTCCTGCACCCCAATATCATGCATCGCGACCTCAAGCCCTCCAATGTGCTTCTGGACGAGGCTTGTACTGCCAAGATCTCGGACTTTGGCCTGGCGCGCTTCAAGGCGCACACCACGCTTCACACCCGGGACGCAGAAGTGGGCACGGTAAGCAGGAAACGCGGCAATCTGTGTGTGGGGATGAAGGTACAAGGCCAGTCGAGCGCACAAAGCAAGGGCCTGGCCTGGGCAGGGCAAGGGTCCTCCCGTGCCCACCGGGTGCGGGAGACAGGTGTGGGCACCGGGCGGGTGGATGAGACCAAAGCTGGATGGGTGCTGGCTAGTCGTTTTGCGCGGAGGAATGTCTACGACGGCGCCGTTCTGATGTCAAACTCGAAACGTCCGAGAGACCGCAAGTTTGGCGACTCTCCTAAGAACAATAGCGTTCCTTGCTCTTGACAAAGTTGAGCGTTTCATTCCTCTAGCTTCCTAATCCAGCGCCGCACCGGGAAGTTGACGTTCGTGCTGACCCGTGCCGTTTTGCCGCCCTCGCGTCAACCTGCCTAAAACCCCCAGACGTGCTACATGGCGCCAGAGGTGAGACGTGGAGAGGTTGGCAGGGGCTGCTGCTGCGGCTGCGCGGGTTGCTGCAGGGACTCCCTTCAACCTTTAATGCTTGGGGTTTAATGCTTTAATGTTTGGGGTTTTTATGGAGAAGCAGCCAGTTACTTTGTTGGTTGGCTCGTGCAGTTTCCCAGGAGAGTTCCGTCGGGTTGACCTCTTTCCTTTCCTGTCACCGACTCTTTCACTACCCCGTTCTGCTCTGCGCAGTGCTTTGTTTCCGCGGACGTCAAGGTGACAGCGGCCTGTGATGTGTACAGCCTGGCGGTGCTGATTAACGAGATGGTTACCAGAAACCGCCCCTGGAGCGGTGTGCGTACGGCGGTGGTTGGCTTCAAGGTGGCGGTGGTGGGCGAGCGCCCGGATCTGCCGCCGGAGGACAGCCCGCTGTGCCCCCCGGGTGGGTACCTGGGGCCCTACTATGAGGGCTGCAGGAGGGAAGAACGAGGAAGAGGAGAATCAAAGCAAAGAAAAGGAAGAAACGGAGAATCAAATCCTTGGGTGGAATCGATGTCACGAGGGGCTCCTTCATGGGTGCTCGAAACTGGAAAAGATAAGCCTGCTCGGATAGGGCTGAGGCCACAAGTACGCCACCTCAACCGTGGGCTTTGTGCCTTTCCGTTACCTTAATTACTACCCCAAGCACCCCGGCACCGTCGCAAATCCACATGCTGCCCTGGGCTGCCCCGGTCTGTTCCCGCAGGCCTTCGCCAGCTGATTCAGGACTGCTGGGCGCAGAAGCCAGAGGACAGGCCTTGCAGCGCCGAGGTACTGTCACGGCTGACAGCGCTCCTGGCGGAGGTGACCTCCGCCAACACGCCCCCAGCGTCACCGCTGCCAGCCTCAACCGCAGGGCAGACAGCGAGACAAGAACCTGGCTCAGGGCCACAACGCGCACGTGCCGCGGCTGCGTCGGCATCGGCATCGGCTGCAAGTTCAGCAGCGGCGGCGCGGAAGGGTACAGCAGATGGCGCTACTAGCAAGGCCACGGCGGTGACGGGGGGCGTGGATGCGGAATGTTAGCTCAAGCGAGTGAGCCCCGGTAATGGTGCCGAGGGCGAAGCGCCTATCTCTCTGCCTTTCCGCCTATGTATATGCTTGCCTGCCTGCCTGCCTTGTCTGTTGCGGTGATCAACACTAAGTAGCATGGGCCTCATGGGAAAGTGAAGGGCAGCCAACATAGGTGCGTTCAGGGCGTTTAGGGGTTTGCCCGCATAGAATTTTATCCCTTGGCGGGATGGGGGCAGGGCTGTCCCTGGGCGGGAAATCTCTTCCTAGTATGTTCTTAAAGCTCATTAATTCATTACTATTATTATGTGGCTATACATGAGTGGGGCCACAGGGGGTATGTGGGAGTTAACGTGTTGGGTGTGGCGAAAGCTCGAGAACCTTCCACATGGCAGTTGAGCTTTTGTAGAATGGCGTGCAGGAAAAAGGGCTTTCGTGTAGCCTTGGGGACCTGGCACCGAGGAGTTGGGCTAGACAGCGCGTGAGTACACGAACTTGTGCAGTACGTTAATAATGCAAAAGGTGGCATTATGGGACTACATTGGGAGCTTGGCACGGGCAGCTGCTGGTTGGGACAAGCCAGTATGCAGTCATCCCGGCGGCGGCTAGCAGTGCCGGAAAAGAATGAACCCACGACAAGGCTAGGACCTAGGTCTTAAATCCATGAAATTGAACGAGCCAGCTGGTAATGCTACGGAAAAGGACTTGGCGGACTGAGATGCAGGTTGGCGTGGATGAGTGCGGTGCGGTGTTGGCAGACCGGATTCGGGTTGGGGGGGGGAAGAGCGTGTGGAGAGTGGTCCTCAGAGCCCCCATGGGAGTACTGCGATTCGGCACACATAGATGGTGACATATGCAATAATCAGGACGTTGAGTTAGTGATATAGGTGCATCGCATCGCATGTGCCGCATCGCGCACGTCGTTCACGGTGTCACACCCTGCTGCTGCAGAACCGTCCGTCGTCACAAGAATACGCGCCGTCCGGATAGTCGGAAATTTGTATGTCTTTTTGTGTGTGCGCATGTGTTTAAGATATGGGTGTCTTCCTGCTGTTTCTAATTGTGTGCGTGTGCTTTATTGCTTGTCAAGCTTACGGCCTTCCCATCTCCTCGGCAGCCACCATGTCCACCATCCTGCGGGCGGTAGTACGCAAGTGGCTGTGGGTGGTTGCAGTGACGGGGAGGCCATTTTAGGTTTTCCCGGCCGTGCCACGAAGTAAGGAGGCAGGGCAGGGCAGGGCAGGGCCAGGAAGGCGGACGGCATCACAGCCGTAGATGTCACTCCACCTCACAACCTTCGCATGACTTTACATTCCTCGGTAACTTATGACGTATAGGGTCGTCCTCGTTTGGGTCATGACAAGGTCCGAAGTTTTCCCGTCCTTGCTCCTGGGCCCCGTCGAGTCACGGGGGGGAAGTGCGTTGGTGGCTGCGTTGTGGAAGGAAGGGTGAACGAGAGCTTGCAAGCCCGAAGCCTTGCCACGTGGGATTCTGTGGCCGCTCATTATCATCATCAGCTGCTGCAACTGCCGCTGCTGCTGCTGCAGCTGCTCAGGATTCAGATAAAGCGCGCCATTTGTTTTGTGGCACAGCTTTCGGTCCCAATACGGCTTTGTTGGACAAGATACGACAGCGGCTGATGCTTTTCCTGACTCGACACGTCCACTTGTACAATCATTTAGTTGCATCGTCTCTGGGCTGATCATGATAGGATGTCCTTGATTTGTGGGGCGAGTTGCAGGAAGAGGCAGCCCATCGTGGGGCTGCTAAAAGGAGAGGGGCCCTGCAAGCAGATAGCCGCTGGACGGTGTTGCTGGTGCACGAAACCGGTGGGTTCGTCCTTAACGTCACTTTGTCAATGGGCGACAGAGGCTCTTCTGGCAGATTCCCATCGCCACGTTTCTTTCCGGGGCTGCGCAATAGTGAGGTTTGGCTCGGTGGCGTGATGTGGTAAAGGGGAGTTGTATGGTAATGGGGACTTAGGGTCGTTAAGGTTTGCGGCTTTCGGCCTGTGCGTGTTGATAAGGGCCTTATGTAGGCATGCAAGTAATGGCGGGACGACGGCTGTGGGGTCCTTTTTCGGTCGATTTTCCGGTCGCTGCTGTGCTGCTGTACGAGGGAGGTTGAGCTAGCTGTGGTCCCGCATACACCCAGGACGATAGGCGCTCTGGTATGTAACGATGTGCCGCTGCTTGAGAAGGGTAGGGGCTCATTGATAGTGGACTTCGTGTGCGTGTGCATACATGTATGTTGTGTATGTTTTTAAGTAGGTATAATGTTTGGATATCTAGAAGTACTGTCCCGGGGGACTCGTGTTAGGGCAAATGTCTGGCCTCCCAGAAGCGCGGGGACTTAAGACGCGGTCGCTGTCTGGCTGATGTTTGGCCGCAGACGAGTGTCGTTGTGGAAAACAAATATTGCGTTGGTCATCGTCTCACGGCATTTGCTGTTCATGAACATGGATCAGTACCGGCATGACATGACGTGGCGTGTGGTGCGTCTCGCAGGTGTGCCCACATTAAAATGATGTATACAACGCTTGGTAAGTTTTCGTTCCGTTGTTGCATAAAGGATTGTTGAGTACACATATGACAAGGACGGGAGGACTGTAAGAAACGAGACTACCGCGGCGTGTGAGATTGTGTAATCGCTCAGCTGCATTCTTCCGCGTATTGTTTTATGTGCGGTACGTCAGTCGGTTAGTCAGAGTTTTGCTAGATTTCAGCTGCAGTGAGAAAGTCCATCTTTCCGCAGCTACTGTGTATATGTGTGAAACAGGGGGGTATATCTTCACCCGAGGCAGCTACCCTGCGGTATTTATATCCAGTCAACCTAGTCAACTTCTCAGTTGATAGCTCAGGTTCCGCACCCATCACCAGCATCCAACGGAATATGCCGGGTCGACAGCGGCCCAACTCCATTCCTGGTCGGCTCGCAGGTTAACTTTATCCCAGGTCACCACCGTCCATCAACTAGGGGCGCAATACCTTCAGAAGAATCTTCGACCTTGATAAGTCTCGATCCCGGGAAATCCCGGGGGCAATGGTCGCGCGATACCAGTAGTGCCTAACCCGTAGCTACCTTGAGGACTAATATATCCGTACATGGTCGTGTCTAACTTTGCGTGGACAGGGTGGGAAGGGGGCGGGATAAAGCCAACCTTGCGGAGAGCATGTTCGAAGCCTGTTTGAAGGATAGCGCAGTCCAGCTGCAGATTTTATTCATGAGGCAGGTAATGGGGACGGCACGGCCATCCCACAGGCTGTTGTATGCGGAGCTGGCTGAACTCCCCTTATAGTATTACATGGTGAAACAGATCCTCCGTTTCTGGAACCGCCTTCAAAAGCAAGTGGGGTCCATTGCTCATGCAGTTTTACGGCAGGAGATAACCGACGCCCTGACCAACATGGAATGGGAGAGTTGGGGAACCTCAATGTTACGACTGTTTTCCTTCTTGGAGTGCAATATTTGGAGCGTAATACCGCAAGAAGTCGTGGGGGTAAAGGAGCGTGTTGACTGGTGGTTGAGTAAGCCTCTACCCGAAGGAGCGATGACAACGGCGCTAAGAGAGCGTTTGATGAGCGGCTGGGACCATACGCGTCTGACTGTCTTGCCAGAGCAGTACCCATCAGATGGGAAGCAACCGGGAGTGCAAATGGCGAAGTACTAGCACTGGATGGGGCTGCCCTTTTCGGGAGCCGCAGCCGTCATGTGGCCAACACATGCTAAGGTTTTCATTCCTCGTTCAGCACATCGCAAGCTAATGCAGTTTCGTTTATGTTGCTGGGCTCTGGAGGCAAACAGAGCACGAAGAGGCAAGTACCATTTCCCCAGGCGGCAGCGGTTTTGCCGCTGTTGTGGTACAAATAGCCGAATCGAGGATGAAAGACACGTGTTATTGGAATGCCCAGCCTATAATGATGTTCTTGCTGAAGAGGGATTCGATCATCAACAGAGCATGTTGGAAGCCATGAAATGGGAACTAGCACGTCTGCCGAGAATGTTGGAACGTATGTGAGCTCACCGAAACTCAATGACTTTGGACGCGAGTCTGGGCTGATGTGCGGTGTATTCCTTTCCTCCGTGGCTTTTAGGCGCTGTAGTATTGCCCTTGGGTCTTCGGCTCGTATGGGGTAACCCCCAACACACACACACACACATCACATAACTGAGATAAGAAAGAGAGGAACTTGATTGAGTTACAATTGACAAGACCCTTCATAACGGTCATCATCACAACCCCAAAAAATGAAAAGGTTGACAGAAGTGCCTCATACTGGAACAAGGCCAAGAACACAGCTGATTCGAGCGATGCTGCGAGCTGCATAACATTACACTGTTCTCACATGAAGTTAAACAACAACGATTTCGTAACTCCGAATTGCAGTGCTACAAACACACCGTGAGTTGCAACATCTGTCAAAATAGTCAGGTAATGCAGCTATGCAGTTGACTCAACCTACTTCCCCTGCAGTAGCTTCCGCCTCTGAAACCATCACACAACGAATAGCATGAATATACATTCATCCTGCATAGGATTGCAGAGGTCCTCGTCAATGCACTTTGGTCTACGGTTCGCGCTTGTTTCGCGATACGATCTACCTATGTGCCCGTGCAGAAACACAGTGCCTACCACAGTTCCACCTGGACAATTTGCAAGGTAATCCAACATACTTGTCAGGTAATTACGCTAAGTCCTATTCTGGATCATCGATAGCATGCAGCGATTATGGCTATTCCACTTGCATTCCTAACAGCTGGACATCAAGCCTGTAACCTTCTACCTCCTTCATTTATCACTCCAAAGAACACCCCTCTACTCAACGAAGAGCGCGTTTATCCTACGCGAAATCCGATCATGAGAATTTTGTTGCGTTATATGGAGGCGACATCGCCTTTAGCGGCTTAGGTGCCGAGCAAGGAATCAACGAGCTGTTTGAGGACGTGTTGTAGCACAGATTACTGCTGCCGGACGCGGCTGTCATCCCAATTGTCATGATGCTGTAGTTCTGGAGCAGATTAAGCGATTTGGCCATGTATGCAACAGCATCGTCTGCATAGACAACACGAGGGCGGGCGCAAGTAATTGACAGTTAATAAAGGCATGAATTTAAAGTCATTCCCTTCGCCAGCCTCAATGACCACTATGCTCAAATACCAATCGAATCTGTCTACTACAGCTGCGAAGCCATAGGAAGGCTGGAATGACGTGGATAGCTAGCCAGCAATGAGGCAACCTGGCACACCGGGACAGCATTAAGGAATCGCATCCCCTCACCTGGCTTGATTGTGCCGGCCTTAAGATAGGCGCTGCCCTGGGAAATAAACGAGCTGGCGGACTTGTTGAGGGCCACGAAGGTTGCATTCGGCATATTCGGTAACTGGCTAGTGTTCTGCAGGACAGAGCGCGGCAGCACATCGGAACACGTCAACTCTTCAGCAAACGAACGGGGAATTGGCCGGAAAACCTCATCATCCTGTCTGAGAGGTCCTGCCGCAAAAGCACATGGCCAACACAGAGGAGCTGCACTTACCGCCAAACTCTGATAGCTTAGAAGGGTGGCCCGGACGTCCTTAACCACGGAAGACGCCATATTGATCACGCCATTCTCGTACACGGCGACCTCCTTGTTGCAAGAAATGGAAGGGGAGAAGACACCCTGCGTGCACGAAAAGCCACCCAGATGCATATCGAGGTCAACAGTTCAATTGTCAAAACAGCGCACCATTCATGATAAATGTCGCCGCGCGACTATGTCCGCCGCACGTGTAGCGAGCATGCGTAACATATACACACCCTTAACTGAAATCACATCAACTTCTAGCAGACGTCCTTCGCACAAGCCTTTTCCACTCCAAAACATTTCGATCTTAGCATCCTCAACTTAAACACCCCGTCAAACACGTGCAATCCACCCTCGTGTGCCTTGAAAGCGCCCACCCACCCACCTGGGCAAACAGCGCCGCCGTTGAGAGGCCCACAATCACCAAAGTCGCAATCCATGAGGCGAACTGGCGCAATAGGAACATCCAGTTAACACCCGACTTGCCCTCCAGGATGCCAATTCCGACAATACCGCCCGTAATGCACTGCAAGGCAGGAACAGGGCCAGGTCGAGAGTCAAATCGGGCCCAATGTGAGTATCTCAACACAATGCCTGAAGAAACACCGTCTCACTTCATCCCAACCAGACGAATTACTGCAAGCAGCATGCGCACGGTGGCACACTCAATGCATTCTTACCCACACCTAAAAACCAACACACGCGCGAGTCAAGGCCCTACCTGCGAAGATGATGTCGGCAGACCGTATTGCGCCGCAATCATAATGATGCACGCCGTTGCCAGCCTACGGACAAACAGGCATGAGGTGCAGGCGTGTCAGTCTCGGACGGACGTACATACCGATTGAAGCCGAAAGTGAAGAGTAACTTACTCAGCAGCGAAACCCCGAGTGGGTGATAGCTTCGCCATACGGGTGCCCATAGCGCGCGTCACATTGTAGCCGTACGTCGACAGTCCAATAACAAGACCCAGAGCAGAGATGAGAATGCACCAAATGGGCGCATTAACCTTGCTGGGCAGCGTGCCGGTCTTAACGGCGAACCAAACAGTGGCCAGCGGACCAGCCATGTAGCCGACCTCACCAGCTCCGTGTGCGAAGATGACGCAGATAGCAGAGAAAACCTGTTGCCCATCAAGACGATGAGAACATTCAGAACTTCGCTGAGAAAGCAGCACTTAAGTAGCGGTATGCGTCATCCTTAATGATTCTCGCATATGCACATATGCGACGACTAGGATGTCAAGACCAAACGAACGAGAAACACAACAGTTGAATTGCCACCACGTCTTTTCCAGTGCAAACGAAAGGATAACTATTGAACGCACAAGCCGGTATACCAAGTATCGACGAAGGGTGCAGTTCACAGGGCCTCAACGAGGACCCACCTGCAAGTAGGAGAAGGCGAACTCGGCCTTGGGGTCAAACACCTCGGCGTTCTCGTGGATGGCCGCCACAATGGGGTCCTCCTCAACAATCTGCACAGGTAAGGCGGTGCACAGGTAGGGAGGGTCAGATGGTGATGGTGACGATGACGCTGCGTGAACGAGCACTTAAGGGAACTAAGGGATAATGCAGAGGGGCAGGATCGCCAGTCTGCGTGCAAGATGAATCACAATATTCCAAGACTCAAATATGGCTGAAGATCAGACTCCCGGACAAATCTTGACTTCAAGGCGATCTTCAGATATTGCCATTTGTCCTGAGGTGTGCACACGCCACAGGAACCCTCACTATCTTAATCTCCTCACATCACGGCATCGCTCCCCCAGCCCTCCCCACCCCACTCCCGCACACCTACAGACCCACCTGGTGGATGTCGACCTCCATACCTGTGCCGGGCACATCAATGGAAGCACGGACAACAGCGGCAACAGCAGTCGTCAGCGGCAATTTTTTTGCCAGAAGTCGCTTCAGCGCACTGGTACATGTAGATTTCAGATACATCACAGGGTGCTGGGAAGTAGTACTATTAGTATTATTACTTCGCTATCATCCCACCCGACCGCCAAAACCTCACCGTGCATGGCGGCCTTCTTGATGGACGACATGGCCCTGAGGAACTTGCTGCCGCTCTCGGTGCGGTCTGCCTCATCCTCCTTAGCCTTCGCCTTGGCGGCCTCCTCATCCTCTTGCTGCTTCTCAGCGCTGTTGAGATGGGCGGGTTCGGGTGGGGGACCATGCAGCAACGCAAACAAGGAAGGGACCGAATCGTCAATAGCCTCCCATAACATAACTAATGCACGCCGGGCCACGAGGATGCGCCGCTACACAGCAATCGCTTTATTCCCCCTCATCACATATATACGCACAATAGCCTTAACGTAGGCGATGATATCACGACACATAAACCTTTCACTGGCTTAGGAATGAATCACAGAGCTGTGCTATTGCTGCTGCTGTGTATCTGACAGGCAGCATTTTGCAACAGAATCATGCTCCCTGAGATCCCAGCCGGTGCTTGTACGAAGTACTGAAGAACGTGCGCTGGTTGTGTACGTACTAGCAGTATAAGCAGCAGCAGGGGGCAACTGTCCTCAGCGTCAAGACTTACTCTTGAGAAAATTTCTTGTCTGCCCGGTACTTGAGGATCGGCAGGACGATCACGGCACACAGAAAAGCAAGGATAACGGCGATGACGGCGGCGACCCAAGCGGCCTTGCCGTCCGTCCAGTCGTCTTTCGCGTCGCTCTGGAAGGTCTTCTTCGCACCCTTAGTAAACACGAAGTAGATGCTGAATAGCAGCAGCGAGGGCACGGCGGGGAAGCGGAATAAACCTTAGTCAATAGGTTAAGAACTTTGCCAACATCGACGCCGTGAAGTCCAAATCGAACACTGTACTCCCTAGTCTTAAACTGCAGAATCCGGCCAGTTTTTCGATTCCGCCACATTTCTGACTAAGTCCATCCGCTCATCCTATCCAAATGACGCGCTACGGTCGCGGGAGGAGTAATTCCAACAGCTGCACTCCCCGGCATTGACTTACTTGATAAAGGTGGTGAAAAGGACCATGAAGGGCAGCACCCAGAACGACAGCTGGTACGACCTCTCGCGGCGCAGTACCGCAGTGCGGACGACGAAGAAGAACAAGGCGGAGCACAGACCCGTCAGCACGGGCGACACGAACCACGACAGGATGATGGGCACTACACCCTTGTAAGGCGGAAAGCTGTTCTTATCGGGTGTCGCCCAATTCACGGCATTGCCACCACCGTACACCAACGAGAAACCGATAATGGCGCCAACTGCGAGGGGGGTTGGTAACGGGTCGTTTATGCTGCTGATTGGTGGAGGGCGCTATAGGTTCGAATAGGACTGAGGCATGATGTGGAGAGCATAATTTAATACATTCTGCGCGACATGTACATGATGGCGTAGATATATGGGCAAACGGATAACAGAGACGAAGGCTGTTGGAAAAGGCAGGCATGTCTCGGCACCGGAAACTTACTGATGCTGTGTGTGGCGGAAACGTTAAGCTCCCAGAAAGATGCCAACCCTTGCCACACGAAGCCGACGCTCAACGCGCAGATCATGCCATACGCTGCAAATTTACAGGCAACCGTTCAAGTTAGTTGAGACACAGAGGACAAATGTGTAAATCCATACTTCTTACTCATAAGCGACATTTCAAAAGGACATACCGTAGATTTCGGGTTCACGTTGGAAGTAGCTGATTTGCGCGATGCCACCAGCAATTGTGCTTGTCGAGACACGGCCAAGGACTAAAGCACCGACGAACTCAAAAATCACAGCAATCTGCAGAGAGAAAATACATTTGTGCAATCTGAATTAAATAAAGATTGTGATGCCGAGCCGTATGATGCTGTAGGCGCAAGATAGCTTCAGAGCGACCAAAGGTGCGACTCACGATGACGGCTTGCTTGAGTGTCAGAGTCTTGGCACCCACACTGGTGCCGAAAGCATTGGCTACATCATTAGAGCCTGCATCCAAAGGTAACGCGCATGGTGTGCGTGAATAGCCGTTGCATACCGCTTGCTAGCTTCTGCATTGCTGCAAGCCTGACCTGTTCCCCACCCAAAGGCGAACGCCGCCATTGAGCCTACAACTACAAGCCATAAGTACTGCAACGGACAGAATAGGGAGGGAGGTAGTGCGCAGTTAGGATGAGTTCCCAAACATGCTAAATGCGTGCGTGCTTAAACTAAGGCTTACCTCCGGCTGAGCGAAGTCAGACATCTTAGGAAATGGAGCGCGGAGATGGATGCCTTGTTTAAATTGTCAGAAGTTGCACGCTGGTAGAGGTAATGTATTGCCGATGCTGATGTCAAAATAGGTATTCAACGACGGGTACACTGTGGAAAATACATCATAGGCGGCGTGGAACACTTGCAACTGGCGGCTACCTTTTCGGTGGCGGTCACTTAATATATTCTGAAAGGGAATATACCCCGACGATGATACTGTACGGAAGCCTCTTTCGTAAACGGCATCCAACCACCTTGTAAAAGGTTGAGCATAATGCTCGGCATCCATTAGTAGTCTGTATGACAAAGTTCAAATTTGCACCGTATGCGCGTTTATGGTTTCCAATGTTGATATTCTCTTGCCTCACACTTGTAACCAAACGCGGTCTTACAGCATGCTCACAAACCACGATTCCTATGTAGCCTTCAAGCTGATTTATTTGGATGAACTTTTGTTTCTGTCGTGGGAATTTTCACTGCGAACAGCATGCACTAGTGAACGTTTCTGGGCGCGTTGAGTATAGCCCTGTTATATGAGTGAAAATAATTAAACTTCAGGAAGTTTCAGGGAAGGGGGTTGTATTCAGGACTTTACGCCTTCCTGGTGGCAACCGCCACGCGACCAACTCTGGCCGCGAAGTCTTGCGGCAAACCTGTTGGCGTACAGTAAATTGCCACGCATTTTACTCAATTGGTTGAGACAAAACTGACGAGCGGCACGGCCGTTTTTTTCCAAGCATATCTCGTTCCCTGCAAATGGCTCTGCTGCCCCTTGCAGCCGCTGTATGTCAGCTCATGCCAGTTAGCTTACTTCAGTGATCCTGTGCTACTCTATCGGACTCCTGGCTCCCATGGTTGCCAACCCTACAACAGTCATTCTTAGCCACACTTAGCCACCCTACGAATGTACGTCCACTCCCGGAGTGGACACCGATGTCCACTCATTGAGTGGAAAAATGGCATTGTGCCATACACGCCATTGCATCACGATAATCAATTAGAGTACGAATAGGTTGTTCTTAAGAAGTTCTCGTGTGCACGCGGTTTTTTATCTTCAGGCTTGTCGCACGGCAAATTAATAGTACCCCAGCAACCCTAACCTGAAATCTAGTATTATAATAGTAGTAATTACAAACACGTTGTTCACGTACATACAGTGTGCGCTTGTGGGCAGAGAATTTAGGAGGGATGTCCAGACTTCTTCGTTCTATTGAGGAGCAACTAATCAACCTTCCGAGGACCTCCCGTTCTCATAGAACCCGTGCTGATAATCCACTGGGGGTAGATAAACCAGATACGCTTGATGATTAGGCAAGGTCCCCACCGCCCAAGCGGCCTCGGAAGCGTCCCGGCAAGGAGTACTACGAGAGACTCCGTCGCTCAACGGCTGCCAATGCAGCAGCGCGTGCCACAGCAGCTAAGTCTCCTGGAAACGCTGATCCCGATGTGCCCACTCCAACCATTGAGGTCAACAACGGGCTGCTACCATCTCTTGACGGGTTCGACCAACCTAATGTCAACCAACATCGGCAGCAGCAACCACCCCGTTCACAACCCCAGGCGGGTGATCGTAGGGGAACTGTTGAGGAGGCAAACGCCCGACGGCATGCCAACTGGCAGCGGTCGTACTTTAACTGGGCAGGGGCTATGCCCTGCGGCCTGGCCCTGCAGGCCCGTGCGTCAGGGGTCTGCCATATGCAAAACTCGGATTCTTACTGTAAAACTACCCAGATAACCATTTTCATGTACGGGGAGTCTAGTTGTGAAGTCAGATTTTCCGCATGACCACCCCATCTTTCGGGAGCATTGGCACCTGCTGCTGCTACCACCAGGTTAAGCCCGCCATCCACAGCAGCTGTCAATGGGCTATCATGAGCATTGGTACCATCACCATGTTCCAGGCACTTCGAGCAGGCCAGGTGCCGCAGGTCACGAGCCCACGCGGTCTGCTCTTGGGTGATCAGATGCTTCTCGGTTGTGAACATAAGCATATTCCACGCTTCACTAAGTGGCCTGCCCTCGCATATCTGATGAAAATAGCCTCCTGAAAGACAATCCTCGATGCGTATGTCCTCGTCCAAGAGGCCCTCTTATTCTTGCTGTTTTTCCCGAGAGACGAAGGTTTTCCCAAAGCCGTAAACATGCTAGGCCTATGCATGATGTAAGGCGCGTCTTCTGGCCAGAATTGGGTCGCAATGAGCAGGTCAAAGCACAGCAGCGCTTCGGCTCTACTTTAGGTATCCTTCTTACTGCACAAAAATCCTACAAAAGAGGTATGCAGATAAAATAATTATTTTGAATGATCGGCCGTAATCAAAGTGGATATCCACTAAGTTAATGGAACCAAGAGTCCACTCCAAGAGTGGGCACAGTAGGGCCCCTTAAGGTGGCCACTCACATCCAGACAGTTTATGTACGCCTGTAATTGGACTCTCAGAATGTCCGCAATTCGTCCCTGCAATTCTCATTCTACCTCAACTGCAGATGCAAACAGGTCTCCCACGCCACACAGGCTTAGCCTTTACATAAGTCGACGCGGCCGCCGGCATGTCACACGCGGCGTGTAGAATTGCACCTGCTTGCAATCCCAGCCATTCGGACTTCTCTGTGGCAAATGTTTGCTGCAGCAGTCCGGAATGTTACGATTGATGAAGAAATGGATGAAGAGCGTGGTCGATAGATAAAGATGGGCGACCTTGCCTTCGTTGCAGAAGAATTGGATATGCCACTGTAGTTACGCGTACACGCATCATTCATAACACGGTTCGCACTAAGCCAGCTGGGGAATTGAGGGGCCATGTAAGATCTTCCCCACCGTCTGAAGCAGTGTACGGGACTGCATTAGTTACCCGCAGCACGGTACGGGTTACAGAGGGTAGTCCATTGCCACACCATCCATCAGCGGTATCCGCTATTACAGGATACACAGCTAGCTCAAAGAGAGTTAGGCGAGGCTAAGGGGCACTGTCTTCATCGCAAATGTTCTTTTCACTATGTTGTTCAACGTGTGGTGAGGTGCTGAGCCTTGCGGAACTCAGCATTTACTTGTTCTTAATTGGAATGAAGTCCGTGCCGTGAGTGTACCTGGGTCGTGTGTTGTCCAGGGGTGCCGAGCCCGTACGTTATTATCGTACAATGTAGCAAAAAGCATTTAGGTTGTCCTTAACTACAATTTCAAATTTTGCGTTATTACTTTACAAGCACTGGGATCGCTGCCATTACTGCAGGAATGTCTCGACTCCTGATGCGTCCCACTCCTCCAACACCTGCCAGCGCAAGGCGGATTCCAACACGCCATGCTGCCAGATGCCTTTCCCTGCGACCAGTTGCGCGAGTTTGGCGTCGGCCTGTTCAGGTTTTCGCGTCGTTGGATGCCGGGATGGGCATGGACCCCGAGCTGAAGAAATCAATTGATAATTTGATTGCCACGAATGGCATTGTGGTGAGTGCATGGTGCAATTATTTTATACGTAAGTCGGAAGAGAACAGCAACACTGATGATGTGTTGTCCAGGTCTTCATGAAGGGATCGCGCCAATTTCCACAGTGTGGCTTTAGCAACACCGTTGTACAGGTATGGAATTTGGCCGGACTGAAGTTATTACATCTTGCATGTTGGGGTTGTGGCTCCGAACCTGCGTCCTGCGTATGCCGAGGGCATATGTGAAGAAGTGTACTTTACATCGGCAAACCCTAGATATTTTAACATTGAGACCGCGGCTCCAGATCACCTGCAAACGTGCTAGTTCCTTTTCTGCCGCAACCGCCTCACTTCACCTCCTGGCTGTCTTCATCCATCCTCTTGGCTTCTCATTACTGCTCTCTCTCTCTCTCTCTCTCTCTCTCTCTCTTTCTTCTATCCTTGTCCTCCGACGTGTAGATCTTGAACACTATGGGCGTGAAGTACGAGACGGTGGACATTCTGGCGGACCCCCGGTTGCGTAGCGGCATGAAGGAGTACAGCCAGTGGCCCACCTTTCCCCAGGTAACAACCAATCAGAGCATCTAACGTCCAGCATGCAGGGTTGGTTTAAAGCAGGGCTTGGGGCATGCAACACCAGGGCCGTGGGACTAGGATGCTTCCGCCGCCCCTCAGGTGTTTTAATCCTTGTCCCTGGCAACCCGGAGTGCCTCGCTAGTGACCCAACAGGCGAACAGACAGACAGACAAACAAAGACGTTGCAGCAGACCGGTGGCAAATGGCCGTGGTCCGCCTGTATGTGTGTATATGCTGTATTGAAGGCGCAGCCCTGACTTGTATGTGTGTGTGTGTGTGTAAACACACGGCGGGATGTAATTTACTCTATTTACCATGTGTGGGTGGGTGGGTTTATGCGCTTGTGTGCATGTATACCGCTTTTTTAGGTCTACATCAACGGCGAGTTCTTCGGCGGATGCGACATCATGATCCGTAAGCCACGTGGCGGTTGTGGGTCGGGAAGAGCTCCTTTAGGTACTCGGTGCATCGCCCATTAGCGGATGCGCATTAAATGGGAGGTTGGGATTATGTAGGCCAGCACCTTACATGCGCAAGGCGGGCGCGAAGGGTGGCCTTGTCTTGGCTCCAAGGCACTGCAGGCGAGACTCCCTGGTTATGCAGCTGAACTGCTTAACTACTACTGCGACTTCGCAAGTCAGTTTATGAGTAGGAGCAATTTTAGCCGCTATCGATAATGGCTTTTTGGAGGAAGGCTTGCGCACGGACCGGGAATGCGAAAGCCAGGGGTGGGCTGGGGGAGACAGCACGCAAGCTGTTAACTGCCACGAATGCTGGCTTGGCTGCCAAAGGCCTCCTGGGATTCGCGAGAGCCCCCTTCTCTATCTCCCCTTCTCGCTCTCTCACCTCACACATATAGGACAGGCACACAGACAAGCGAAAGATCCATCTCCGTTTGTTTCCATCAGCGTTGCGTCTGTAGTGACCCGCGAGCACACTGTTGCTCTCCCTGAACCCCCCCACCGACTCGGGGTGGCGTCGGGCCCCGCACCGCCTCCCCGCACCGCCGCTGTACACCTGGACCCCAGAGGCCTACCAGTCCGGGGAGCTGAAGGAGATCCTTGAGGTGGCTCTCAACTCGTGATGAGCAACCCGAGCAAGCCGGGGGGCTTAAAGGCTTCTCGCCCGGCACACCCTCCCTCCCCTTCCCGCTAAGCCCCGCTCTGAACTCTGCTCTGGTCGCGTCAAGAGGCGGTTCCATGCGCGACCGTCGCACCCGATTTAATTTGCAAGAGGCCATTGGCATGGCATAGGCTGTCAAACCGAGTATTGAGCCGTCGTGGTGGGGGTGGGGTTGAGGGTGGGTGGGGGCTATTGGGAATGTAGTGGGTAGTGGGTAATGGGTGGGGGTGAAGCGATCCCAGGTGTGCTGGAGGGCGTCGGGAATTGAAGTGGTAATAGTGTATGGTACCGTACGCGCGGTGTCTTACCGTTCAGTGTCAGAGATATTGGAGAGCAGGCGGAGTCGCCACCAACAGATAAGCTAGAAGCGCGCGAGCAGAGGGAAGGGGCCTTCCTGAGGAGGTTGTCGCGTGCTGTGCGAGGTAGTGGTAGTGGTAGTGGTAGGGCCTCAGGGAGTTGGATGATCGCGGACGAAGGTACAGCATGTGCTGTGTGTAGAAATTTGAGCTGTAGGTACTACTTACCAGATGCCCGTGTTCATCGCAGGGGCTGTGGGGTAAGGTTTCTGTCGCTGCTGAGTGTTTGCCAGCTGCGCACGTATCCTGTACATTAGCTTGTACACGGCTGAAGTCGCTGAGAGCTTCACAAACCATTTCGTTGATTGTTTGGTGATTTTTTCTCGCCGGGAAGAGGTGTCGGGCATGATAACGGTGACGAAGAGCGTGGATGGCCGTGAGCAGTTAGCACGTCGCTGTAGCTAGTAACGACCCGAGAGCTGTGTATTTGACGACACAGAAGGCCCCACGTGTTGTTGGGCGGAGTATGCAGGAGGATAGTACAGTTGTAGAGATCATGTTGCATGTCAGCCTCTGTACGGTTGCCGATGTGGCACCTGCTCGTGCAGCTTCCGTACTTGCGAGTACTCCGGGTTGTTCCGTATTGAGTGATGCGCAACGCAGACGAGCGTTGGTGCCCGTGTTGCCAACAACCCCCCGGTCCAAGGCTGCAGCTGTACGGCCTTTTAATTGATGCGAATCATGTGACCTTGGCAATCTAGGACCATTAAACAAGTATTGGAAGCAACGTGTAATCTCTCGAGGCCAAAAGGAATTCCATCCGTTCGCGAGGATATAGATTAGGGTTTATCCAACGTATAGGACTAAAACCCTAACATTTTGTTCATACGTGGAACGAATCACGGAAGGTCCTGCGCCACCCCGCTCCTTATTGATCCAAGGGCAATAAATTCAGAAAATTGAGGCGGAAAGAATTGTTGCGCTGCTGGAAAAACTCGTATCGGTGATAGCTATAATTGACAGTTCGGCACGATGCACGACGCAGACCTCCTTGCTTTGTGGAAGGAAAGACGCAAGTTGTGCAATAGAGAGTGGCACTAGTTCACTGCATTGCGCGTTAGATTTCCAGGGAGGGCTGACAGACGTCGACACCGTTGCAATTATCCGTGTGTAAGCCTACAGCACTGAACTCGTTCCGCGCATGGTCCCTGTCGCCACGAGCTCAGTAGTCAGTTGTATGGGCCGATACGGGCCACTGGTGGAGATGCATACGCTGTATACGCCATGGCTGGGACCACCGCTGCAGCTGCGTTTTCTTGGGGCCTCGGCGCTGGTCGTAGCAACGGCAAGAGGGTCGTGGCGAATATTTGCCACTATTTGAACGTAGGTCGTGACATTTTATGATACAGGATACATACGGGTTCGCGACTCACCGCAACCATTTGCGGTTGGAATGAAAAATGTCTGCTCACTGCGCAGGTGGCACGACTAGCTTGGAGCCAATCGCCCTACCCGGCGTGGTGAATGCTACAGAAGGCTGAGCAAGAAGGGAAACGTGGCCCACATGGAGGACGTGAGCTGTTACAAGCTATGTAAGGCCTTTGCCCAGACGGTTTGAGGGAACGAAGCTTGTTCCGGGGACTGTGCACGTAATGAGGGCGGCACACTGGTGGTTGCCGCTTGCTACTGCGACTTTATATATAATTATATTCTCTTCATAATTCTCCACGCTTCAGGCCGTTTAGCTCAGTGGATAGAGCGGAGCTTTCCTAAGGCTCAGGTCGGAGGTTCGACCCCTCCATCGGTCGTTTTGGCCCTGAGTAGTTTCAAGCTTATCACAGTTGCATAAATGTGGTTTTTATTTATTCCTATATTGCATGAGGGCTATGCAGTGGGATGGGACGGGTGGATGAGGGTGCCAGGGCCAGCAGCATCAGGTTGACAGTAGCACCGGGCTAATTATTAACCACCAAGCGTCTCCTTGGTGGCAGAATGCTCAGTCAGGATGCAGTGGAGGGTCGAGCACAGGATACGGATAGGAAGGAGAAGGATAGAAATGTGGACCCAGGAAGAGTCAACACCAACCCACTAAGGTTGAGGATGGCAGAGGATGAGGGGATGCAGTCAGCAGGGTGTGGGACGTTTGCAAGCATTGGGTTGAGGATATGAAAAGGGGGTGTAGGATGTATCCAACTGACAGGATGCATGATCACGCATCCTGCCAAGACTCCCCCAGAATGCAAGGATGGGCCGCCAATTAGCCCATTGCAATCTGACACCCTCCACACTGATGTATATGCAGTGCGGCCCACTAGATATGCATGGTGATTGATAGGGGATTTAATTATTGGCTACATCGATGTAGCCATAGATATCTATGAACTCGCTAATCCATCTAACAGGTCTAGACCTGTTAGATCTCGCATTATTAGACCCAGACACATGTTGGTGGTTTTCATGAAATTTCATGGTATGTTCACTGCTTCGGAAGCACTGTGATATATTACCTATCCGGGAACTATAAGAGCTCCATCAAGCGTTCATTACAGAATGTTTTCATGGCTGATGCATTCTTAATGCACACTTATATGACATACTTACATAAAACCGCTTAATCCCAGTGTAAGAATGTTTAAGAATGCACACCCGCCTCCTCTGTGTTCTTCGGGCGTTCTTAAGGATTCTCCTAAGTTTCTTAACCCCCCTCCGTGTTCGTAGGGTACACCGGGAAATCGGGCAGCTCCCGATTTATATCTTCGGAGGGTTACCGTGGGCACATGCTGGGCTGCTAGTAGGCGGATCCCGCGCCCGCATACACAGTGCATCTTGGCGTTACACTTCCTTACAGCGGGCCGCACCATCATGGCGTTTAAATGATTACTGCCATGCGGCCATGCTCACATAAAACCGGACGTTTATGTCCAAGGAACCTTTCATCTGCCATGCCAGGGCATCAACGTCCCGCGCCTCCCCTTTTCATTGCCTACGGACGTGTAACACATGACACAGCCTAATTTGCCAACGATATGAAGTCACGAAGTCTTGCATTAAGATAAAGGCTGGCATTGAATACCCAACATCTGGCCCCAGCCAACAAGACCCAAAACAGCAAACGGAAGCGCTCCCCGCACATGGTACTCCGGTATGACACTGGCCACGACAATCCAACCCTACAGCCGTCAAATCCCACGTTACAGTAATATCACACCCGTCCGCTCTTACGACGTACGGTTAGGCAAAACAAGTAAGGACAGGCCAACGGGCCCCAGGCGAGATGGTTCCCGACGCCATGGTGGACAGTCCCACGGGGCCGTTCAGCCCAGTGACAGTCCGGCAGGGTGGCGCTCCAGTGAAGGCCGCGAGGAAGGGCATCAGGACGGGTCCGCGGTGCGGAGTGCAGGACAGGGTGGGAGTATGGGGCGCTGCCTCGTCACACTATCCGCAGAGCCTACAAAGCCACATGCGAACCATCTTAAGAAACCACATGCGGGGGAGCATTGTCTGCACTGGCTGAGTGTAAGAACCTTCTTAGGCTCCTTAGGCCGGGGCTCCCACACCCCGGCCCTGTCTTTAGGCGAGAGACTAAAGCAACGGCCCCAAGCGCCTTTGAATTGCACGTGCAGCTCCAACTGTCCGGCAAAGCCGCTCAGTCCCGCTACCATGGTGCGGTTGGGAGGGGGAGAACTCCTCTACGGAATGTTTGCAGCCCGACGCTGGGAGAGCCAGCAGGTACTCAGTCGCTACCTAGACAGTCCTTCAGGGCCCGGTCAACGGTTACACTCGGTGCCAGGAAGGCATCCGCTACTTTCCGGAACTTGGGGTCCTGTAGGCCTGCAGTCAGACGGTGCCGTGTTTGCATATCAGGAGCGGTAGGAAGTACGGCGCGTGAGTGAGGGAGCAGTGGCAAGAAGAGAGCTCCTGAGCACCTGACACGGGGTCTCATCAAGGCCCGTGGAGCACAAAGCGAGAGACAGCGTACTCTTGCAGTATGGCTCAATTCGGTGTTTTAAAGAACAAGCCCGGAGCTGCCGATGTATAGAATGTGATGGAGAGCAATCAAGTGTCCGGACTTCATAGGTACCGGCAGCGCCGGATACGTTTCCTTCAATGACCCTGGTTTCAGAGCGTTTCGATAATGCATGACATACAGCTAGGGTTGTACTGAGGAAGGCACGGCAGGCACGGCATCTACTCAGATCCTCCTTGGTCACCCAGGGGCCACTTACATTCGCCGTACTGTATGAAAGGTGCCATCTTTGCACAGCAACTGATGGGGATGGGGTTAGCGTTCGCTGCGCACCGCTTGAAGGCCGCCGTTGCAGGGTCGTTCTGGAGTTTGAGAGCGGATTCGCATTTGCTCGCGTCGATTGCTGAGAGACGTGAGAAGAATTGAGGGGTTGGGGCGTTCTCAGCTCAAGCTTAACGTAATGCGACCGGTTACCCCTTGGTATGCGGGTACAGGAGAAGGAACACCGGCCAAGGAGTGCGTGAGAAAGAGGTTTCAGGCTCACCCCTAACGCGGAGGACGTTAAATGCGATAATCCCCAGCATTGCAAGCGCCATGACAACCCACGCTGCAGCTGGGCGTCCGGTTGTTGTCCTTCGCATGAGGTCCATAATGAGGCTCGCTATCTTTCTGATTTTATCCTCAACCAACCCCTTTCAGGTCGCAACGTAAGGTGCTGTGGCAGTATCCGCAGCTAGGGCCCTTAAGCCTGAGGCCAGGAACGGCCATGCTGACAGGTGAAAACTGCGAGGCAGTGAAAGACGAGGGCTTCCGTGATGGTCGACTGGGAGTGTATGAGAGAAATTTATAGACAGCTATTTGAGTTACCGTGGTGCATTCTGAAGTCCTTGGGCCGCCCAAGTTGGGCGATTGGCCAAATGGTCGTACGGACTCTCCAATTCGCGCTGCAAGAAATTCGGGTCCTGGCCCAACATGGCCCTCCTTTTCCTGCGTGCATTTAGCCCCTGCGGTCAAAATGGTGAGCTAGGGCTTTACGGATTAATTCAGGCAAGCTGCGCCGCCCATCTTAGTGTGGTGGTGTAACTCTCGTGTGCGCTTACTGCCGTGCAGCCGAAGCAGATTCATGAGATCAAGGACTTCTTGCTGACCGCTCGTCGCAAGGACGCGCGGTCTGTCAAGATCAAGAAGACTGGCAGCGTGACCAAGTTCAAGGTCCGGTGCTCGCAGTACCTGTACACTCTGTGCGTTGCGGACTCCGATAAGGCCGATAAGCTCAAGCAGTCTCTGCCTCCTGGTAAGCAACATGAACTGGGGAAGCGGCACCTGCAGCTTGGGCGGCAGGGCGGCGGATTGCGCTTACTTCGCGTTGTCACTTCGCTGCCATTAAGCAGTGTGGGGATGATTAAATGCTATTATATTTTGGAAAGCTGATGTGACTTTTTCTGCTCATTGCTTTCTACTAAGCAGCTCATGTTTTCGGTATTTGGCTTCTGAGCTGTATGCCTTAGTTCCTGCTGTTGTTCTGTTGTTTCTGCATTATCCTGTGGCAATGGATGGTGCGTTTGCATTTTTGGCTACCAGACACGGGCTTACCCAGCCTTCATCCCGTTTCCACCTCCACCTGTGTGTTGAACTGCTGTCTTGCCCGCAGGCCTCTCTGTCCAGGACATCTAAGGAACTTGTTAGCCACCCGGGGAGTAAGAATGTAACGCAGGACGTGAGCCCTTGGTCCCAATACCGCCTTGCATCCACTCGTGTTGGAAGGGACCTGGCTTGTTCTCCAACTAGCATGTCCAGTTCAGATATTCGCTCAGCATCAGCACGTAGTGCAGGCTGAGAAACACAGCTTTTGCCATGGAGACGTCATGCCAGTGGCCGCTGTGACGACGGCGGATCAGACAGCTCTGCAGCTCGCTGCACTGGGGCACTTTACAGGAGAGCTTGCTGTGAACAGCGTCAGGAGATGCCCATCCCAGCGCCGATGCACGATAGGCAATCATCTAGAATGATGTCGGCGTCAGCCAAGTCGGCAGCATGGTCGGTCTCCCCCGTGTCACCGTCTCGCAGAGCCTCGTGTCGACGTGTAGCGTTAATGACCTGTAAATGTCCTGCGGTGACCATTAAATTACCGTGCTGCTCTGAACGTACCATATTAACCGAAGAAGGAACAAGACATTCCATCAACCGAGCCGAACGCTCTTTAAGCTTGTTCCAAGGATTAGAAGATTTTTTAGGACGAAACAGCCCGTCAGGCATACCAGAAATAGCAGCTTGAATGGTGCAGCCCAAAACTTGCAGCAGTGCGCTAACACGACCATCGCACTCATCGCGTATGAGCATAACCACCTCCATCGCTCCCACAAACTTCGACAAGAAACCAATGGGTCGCACGTTGCACGCGTCGCAGGTGGCTGCAGCGTGCTCTGACCCTTCCTCAAAACTCCCCTCTTGCAGTCTGCATGTACAGTCAGGATTGAGCTCCATTGCTCTGCTCCAAACTCGCAAGGCTGTTAGCAGCGCTACGTGCTGCTCAGAACTGCATCGGCCCACATGAGTTGCCGGCCGATTTTGGCGAGCATGGTTCGTAATGGCTGGTTTGCTGCCACCGCAATACCAAGTAGACGAACAATCCAGGCTGGGAGTGTCCAGGCTGTCGGCTGTTGTGTTGCCGTCGGATACTTGAAGTATGTGTTCCGCCAGCCTTGCCGCCGCTAGGCCCAAACCAACAAGTGAGAAGCCACTGGAGACTCTATTCACACAACCGTCTGAGGTCGTAGCTGTACGAGCTGCAGCAAGGCACTTGAGCAAAACAGTCGGAAGTTCAAGTAGGGCCTCCAGAGAGGGGGTCAACATGGTCACTGCCGCATTACCGTCATGTGATGCCTCCAGCACTCGGCTCAGACACTGCGCAACCACTGCTGTAACTGCTGACTCCTCGTTAGCCTTCAGGTGGCTGCGGATATCCTGGAGCTCCTCCTTGCCTGCAACACTGGTCACAGAGCTCCTTGCGATCTCATGCAGAGTCTCTTCTCCTCCACACACTGCACCGTAAAGACGTACCGCCGCGGCTGCGGCCGCAGAGGCAACGCGCAGCCTAGTGGAGGCTTGAACCAGGGTATTGCCGCTGCTACCGCTATGCCAGATGAACCCGCCTTTACAACCGCCACCATTTCCCAATCCCCACGAAGACATGTTCCGATGTGGCGGCACTTCCGGCCAGCCCGGGTCCCAATCCGGGCAGGATCCCACAGCCTGTCCGCTACATGGAAGCTGCCACATGACGCTGGCGGCGGCGTTGTCCGCATCTACCCTTCTGTCGACCCCTCCATGATGACCGCTGCCCAGCAGAATCCGCACCGCGTCGCTCAGGCTGCACAGCAAACCATGTAGTGGCTCCGCGAGCTCCCGGTGTTGAAGCACCTCCTGCGGCAGCCAAGCAGCATGCCCCGCGCGGTAAAGCCAAAGACAGACCAGACGACAAGCTAAACTGCCCGCAAGGGGTGAAAAAATGGCCCGTGGTACAGCTTGTGGCCCATATGTTTCGACGTGTGCCTCAGGAAACCTATTCCGTCACCGTTGCCACAACCCGAACAATACCACACCCAAGACCGCTCCCTGTCGGCCCACACTGGGGCGAATGGCCACGTGTACCTGGACTGGAACCCGCAGTAAGCAGTCCTAGAGAGCGAGCCCCATGACAGAATGAGGCAATGCAAACCGTGGCCGGCCTAGATTTCGAAACATAATCCCACCTCTCCTGCGGCGAGTATGGCGAGTATAGAGGCGACTTACCGCCGGCCAAGACGCAAGGGCGGAGGCCAGCGCCGCCGCCGTGCTTGTCAAAGTATATGCCGGAGGCAACGCCGCGTCCCGAAGCCCAAGCAGGGAACCGCGCGCCGCACCGCAGCTGCCCTGTGCTACTGCATCCGTGTCAGCACCGGGCGTAGCTTTGGTGTCGCTACTGCTGCTGCCAGCCAAGCTTGGGCGCAGCAGCAGGGCTGCAAGTTTTGCCGCACCGGCCACAAAGACCTGATCGACCCCAACATAGACCGAAGAGGCAAGCAGGGCAGGGCAGGGAGCAGGTGAGCAGCTCAACACGGAGGCACAGAGCCCCAATGTGCCATACAGTCGGTCCTCCAGGATTTCGGTCAGAGCGAACCCCCCAGGAGTAATGGAAAGGCAGGTCGAGAAAACTAAACATCATCAGGACACGTGGAGGTAGCGGAAATCCAGCTTGGTGTGGCAGGTCGTGGCTGCTCCCCTCCTTCCCAGGCCCCATCCCGCCTGCCCACGCTGGCAGCTTTTTTTTACTTTTGCATGATACAATTCCCCCCCTTCAACCCTCCATTCCCCGTGCCTCACCCGCCTCTCCCGTTGGTGGGTCTCGTCTTTCCCCGTCCACAAGTTGTACTGCCCATCACGTGCGCACAGCAGCACAGCGTCCAGCAACGCCTCCCTTGTCCCTGCGGTGATAATGGTGTCGGTGGTTGTCGCAGTGGTGGACGCAGGTCGCAATGGCGTGCAGCAACGACACGCCGCGACCGGCTGACTGACGTTTGCGCTTTGAGGGCTGAAAACGGCGGAAGGGACGGAGCAGAGCCTAGCTACAAGGGGGAGCTGCGGTCGACTGGGGTGTCTGGGAGCTGGAATCACTCGCGTGTGGCTGGCTGGGAAAAACACAGTCCGGATCAGCTGCTCCGTCATTCCATCAATCTGTCCTTCGTTTTCTTCTCCTTCGCGGACTTGCTTTGAGGGGTGTTCTAAGAAAAATGCAACACTGGCCAACCCGACCGCGCACCGGCCAAGTCGCCAGCGCTGCTACCGTTAAGGCGCTGGCAACCATCACCAGCGCCTCCCGCAGTTCCCGTCAAGACTTCCCGACACAGCGCCAGCACATGGGCCGGCGCCCGCAGCGCTACCAGCAGCTCGGCACCCTGCGGAGACCCATGGGCAGGGTTCGTAAATCTTGGAAACCACCAAGACTAGACATCAATCCCGGAAACGGGAAGGGACCCCAGGAGGGTGTTGAGTGTTTGTTACGTTGTTTGACGTTTTTGTGTGTGGCACTGTGCAGGACACTTCGCGAAGGGCGACAGGGGGCAGGACGGGGGAAGGGAGTGCGGGGCTTTTCTTTTGCAGGGTTCTGTTGCTGATTATTGCGGTTCCGGGCGCGATTTTTTCTGGATTCTGGAACGGTGCATTCGGGAACCCGAGGACATGACGGGACAATATCTTGTTGGGGTTTACGTGGGTGAGCAGCAGCTTGTGACAGCGGCGCATGCGTGCGTGTGCTGGTTGTGAGAGAGATTTGGTTATAAGAACCGACAGGGCGGTAAAAGAACGCGTTGCATGCGATAGGATTTGATGTGGTTATCGTGCTTTGGGGCTAAACCTATCCCGGCAGGCGGACAGACAAGACTGTCCGACTGGGAATAGGGCTAAACCGGGAAGCCTCGGAGCTTCGTGCGGCACTCGGAGCAGCTGCAGCGTTGGTGCTGGGGGGTTGACCTGGTGGAGGGGACCGTCACCGTCCATGCCGCGGTAGAAGGAGCTCTCTCTCTGCAGCACACCGACCCACCGACCCGCGGAACCACACGGGCCCCCGGACACCCACCTCGGAGCTGCCCAGGAGTGCCGCCACCAGCTCACACAGCGCCAACACGGGGCGCCAATCCTGGGGTACTGGGTTGGGCCCAGCGTTGGACTCCGTGCCGCTCCTGCCGGCCCCCTCGCTGCCTCTGTCGCCGCCGCCGCCGCCGCCGCCGCAGGTGGCGACACCAGAAAGCGACGTGTGGACTTCTGCGCGTCTGTCATCCCGGCTGCCGCTGGTTTGGACAAGGTGGAGGGCTGCCGATAGGCTGGCGGCGGCAGCGGCGGCTCCCCCAGCCAGCAGACCTTCTTCCGCAGCGGCGGCGACCAGGCGGGCTGCAGCAGCCCGTAGGTGCGCGTTGTCGCTGAGCAGCGGCGGCAACGCGACGTGGACGATGAAGCTATCAGTCGCCAGGGCGATACCGCAGCCGCTGATGCCAGGGGTCTCCACAGCACTGCTGTTGAGGGGAGTCTGGAGGAGGGCGGCAGTGAGGAAGATGCGCTGGTAAATAGTAAGGCCCGAGGTAAGGCCGCCAGCGCACAGAACGCCAGATCGCACTCAGTCGCAGGGCCCACCTGCAGCACGCCTGCTAAGTCCATTCCACTGCCCGCTGCCGGGCCGTGTATGGAGCCCAGCACGCAGCGGAGCACGTCCACGCACTCAGCTCGGAGGTCGGGCGGGAGCTCCACCTGGCCTGATATAGCCGCCACCCTAGAGAGCAAGTCGCCTCCGCCTCCGCTGCTGATGCCCCTGCTGATGCCGGGAAAAAGTGCCCATTGGGGTCGTTCATCGACGTGGAAGGAGCGAGTAGACAGGGGTACGACGAAGCACAGAACAGCGAGGAGATAGGGATGTGGGGGACGCCGCCGCGGGGGGGAGAAAGGGGAATAATGGGCCAGCGAGCATGATGAGTTCATCACCCTCCTCCTCACCTCTGCCACCGCAGGACGCAGCGGAGGCCATGGGAGGTGCTGCATAATGCCCCCAGCACCCGGGCCGCGGCGGTTGCAACGGAAGGGCTGCCGCGCGTTAGTGCCATCTGCAGTAGCAGGCGTAAGAGCAGCAGTAGGTGGCATGGTGAGATGAATGTGTTATTCACCGAGTAACACCATAGATACACAACAGAATTACGGCTGCGTTCGTGCAATTCCTGTGACGGCCTGAGTGCAACTTCCAAGATCGGCGCGTTCATGGGCCGACTGGGATTCTTTTAGGATCATGCGGTGGGTGACCTGCAGCTATGTACCGCACCGTACCTGCAAAGCGTCGAGACCCTTAGCTGCGACAAAGGCCTCACGGGCCGCGTCGCTGTGCTGACAGTACTCAGCAAGAGCTCGGGAGACGACCGCCGAGGAGCAACAGCTGTCGCCGCAGCAGCCCATCTCGCCGGCTAGGCACTCGCCTGCTTGCGGTGCGGGGTGATGGTGGTAAGAAACGCCAGAAGGGCTAAGGTGGACAGAAGCTATTTATTGTTGGATTTCTCTGAGTGGCTAACGCACCTGATACGCCGGACAGAAGCACCGTGAAACAATCGCCCAGCTTGCGAGACGCCCCGCCGTACTGCAGCTTGCGGATGCGAGGCATAGCGAAAAAAACTTTTGAGTTTGGATACTAAATAACTATAGTATTAAACGTATTTCATGCCGTGCAGCACTAGGCTTTCCCATGTTTTTGTAAATCGGTGAAAAATCGTGTTCCTTGCACACGCTGAATCTTTATGATAAACTGTCTGAATTCTGTAAATTAAAACGACTGCGAGTAAAGATGAATTGCCTTGCTAACATCGCCAAACTAGCTAGCAACTGATCGATGGAGTACTGGGCATTTGTACGAGCGAGCAAAAACAAGCCTGCAAAAACAAGCTCTGTCGTTAGGGACAGAGATGGCTCGCTCCCCGTTTCAGATTCAGGGTGGTGGGGCAGGTGGTGCAAGTTATGGAAGGAGGTCTAGGAGCAGAAGCCGGTCGTGCTCATACCGCCGGCGGCTGGGGCCGAGGTAATACCACTGCTGCTTATCACCCGTATTCCCGACCCACATCGCAGTTGTTTGGTAAAATATAACCGTCAACAGGAACGTAACACGCCAAGGTAGTAAAACCCCTAAACAAACACTCCTCCACAGTCATGTTTCATCGTGATGACCAACTTGCATCGGGCCCGCGTGGAGCTCGGCCTGCCGCCGGATCCGACCACTGGTGAGCCGAGAGACAGCTTCCGGCTGGCGGTCGAGACGCTTCGCGCGCCGTTGTCCAGCAACGCCGGCACGGCGGACCGCGCCCGCGTCCGTGCCACCGCAGCATGCATGCTTGACTCCGCCATCACGGTGTACGAGGGTGTGGGACGAACACTTGCCCGGCCGCAAAAATTGCGTTCTCGCGGCGGCAGCTGCGGCGGCGCCGCTGCCAAGGGTACGGCGGCCCGGGGGGCTGCCGCTGAAGAGGAGAAGGCGGTGCTGTCGGAGCTCGTTTGGCTGCTGGCCGCCAGGGGGGGTGGTTGCGGTGGCGGTGGCACCGCTGCTGTTGTGGCGGTGGCGGCGGAGCGTGCCGCTGTCGATGCTGCCAGTGCGCTGTGGCAGCTGATGGCTAGCGGCACGGTGCATCCGGAGGTATTGTTTTGTGATCTGGAGGCGCACCTGGTGTCGGTTCTGGGGAGCCCCAGGGCGGCGGCGGCGGACTCAGAGCGCCCGGCGGTGCTGCACCTGGCAGTGCTCGGACTAGTGTCATGCCTGGCACGCTGTACGGCAGTCGCGCGGCGGCTGTGGACATCACCGCTGCTGCCGGCGGTGATGAAGGCGCACGGTCTGGCGCGGCGGCGCTGTGCTGACGGTGGCACGGAGGCGTGGACGCCTGTGGTGGAGTGCGTGCGAGGTGTATCCCAGACGTTGTGTCGTGCGTGCCACACTGTGGATCGTGGTTTTGTAGTGGGGCCGGACAAGCGGGTGGATAAGTGGGGCCTTACGGAGCGGTTGTTGGTTGAGGTCAGATGCACGTTGCAGTACGATGAACATGAAGACGCAATAATGCTGCTAGCCAAGAAGGAGGAGGAGGTGGCTGGGGCTGGAGGCCGACTGGCTGAGTACGATGATTAGTAATAATGCCTCCACTGGTTGTTTTGCGGGTGGAGAGAAGAGATGTGCGGAGTGGATCTTGTCTTGCATGCTGTACAGCATACATGGTATATACATACGACAAGGCTGCTTAGAACGGTCAGTGTCTGACGACTATTACCTTGTTTCCGTAGAGGGAGCAGCGTTGGACTGTTCCGTGTTTCATAAACATTTTGCTGAGTCATGGAGCCGTTTTCCTGTGGGGAGGCTCTGCTGTACAGATTCGTCCATCTTCTTATGGGCCTTAAGGGCTGAGCAAGCCAACGTAACGGACGTTTCACGTTACCTGAGCAAAGTGAGCTGTCCATCAAGCACTGCTGCTCGACGTCTGACTTTGTGCTTTATAACCACGTGCCACAGAGACAGGCTGGATCCTATGTTGTGAATTCCTTATGTTATCATTTCTGTTGAAGCTGTGAATGCGGACGGATCGTTGTTACTGCTGCCCACATAACCATAACACCTTAAAGCCCCTCATAGTTGTATTAGCTTTGGTGCGGGATTGTGTGTTGGGGAGGTTTCCCGGCTGGGAGAAAGCCCGGTGGTATTGACGATGTGGACGTTTTATTTTTGCTTTGGTGGGAGCCGCTAGCCGGAGAGCCAGGGCTGTCGTACTGCCTTGCTGCTGCCTTTTGTGTGCTGTCGTGCTGCACCAACGTAAATTCCACCATGGTCTGTCTTAACTACCATGAGGAGGCCTGGGCCAATGTGCCACCGAGCATTCGTTTCATTCCAGATCTTGGGCTGAGGGTTTCACTAATTGTTGATCAGGAAACATTCTTGCCATTCTGGCCAGCATGGGCGCGTTAGCCCCTGAGGGCCAACAGGGGGACAGGATGGGAGCATTTTCCTCCTCCCTGCTCAATTGCATGCATGCGCTGGGTGCATGCACCCTCTTCTTGCCACAATTTCGAGGATGAAAATCTTGTTCCCACCTCACAACTTTTTACTGGTGTAGTTTGGACATTTGTATAAGCCGTATGTTGAAATGCCGTGTCTGTCGATCAATCAGCAGTTATTTGGATGGCGTGACCCCATGCTATTACCGACGCAGTCAGCATTGTTGCAGGGCGGCGACGGCTGCTCAACCGTATGCACTACCGGCCTTATGCACCGTTTACGTGTACCCACATCCATGTTGCAGGCGACATGGGGCAAGCCGCCACCGGTTCGAGCCGCACTTACATGGAGCTAGGAGCTGCAAGTTGGCTAGGTATTCAGACAATGATTCGGGACACGGTGGCCAAGGTTGTCATAAGCGTATGCGAATTCGTTCAGATAGTTCGAGGAATGAACAAGAAGGAAGATGGAGGGACGGCCATTTTGCAGCAAAGCGGAAACATGATTCGTCCTGTAAGCTTTCGAATATATATACTGAAATTACTTTACGCTTAGTTTCATGGCAGCCGTACTAGCGACCACTCCAGGGCATCCTAACCTCGATTAGGATTTAGCAACCCCAAGCCCCGCTCATGCTAATCACTTTCATTTATCCCAGGCGAAATTTGTTTAACTACTCTCTCAGCGACAACATGCTGTCTCTTGACGAGCAAATAGCAGAAGTGTCGGGGAAGCTCGCGGTGGACCCTGGTAACCAAGGCTTATGCAAGCACCTGGAGACACTGTGGAAACTTAAGGATTACCAACAACAACAACAACAACAACGCGAGGAAGCGCGACGACAATATGAGGACAACCTTCTGGACGAGGCCCTCAAGAATATTAAAGCCAACCCCCACTCGCAGACTGCCAAGGATGAGTGGGAGCGGGTGTTGATTCGGACAGGTTAGTGTGTTAGAGATTTGCTTTGCGAAACTAGTCGCAGTGATTGTGACTGTAATTTTATAGTATGGTTCTTTCGATCATGGGTTGGATGAGCCTTGGAGCCTTCCAAATGCCTGCCTATCGTATGGAAATTGAGGCATCCTGCTGCCTGCCCCTGCTCTTCCACAGGGCGCAAGGAGCACGTCGAGATCGATGTCCAGTGTGAGTTTGAGGGAAGCTATGAATATAGCCTAGCACTAGAAAGTGTTTGGTAATTCTCCTTTTATGTCAGTGCACTTGGCATCCCTTCATAGATAGCCTATCCTGGCATACTCAGTCCACAGCAGCACACATTCATTCACATCTCGATATGTTGTGCACTGCAGGCATACTGCATACGTTTCGCTCTGCATGGCAGAAATTAGCATGGCCCTTCCATGTGGGCAAGCCAGCAGAAAAGTCAGCTGACGCCATAGAAGATTGTCTGGATTCCAAGAATGCATTACTAATGGTCTTCGCCACTGCCATCGGTCTTAACTTGATGCCCTGCAGGGGGGCTGTGGACGATGATGATTGGAGGGGTAGTGGCCATGATGACTGGGCTCCCGACGAGCACCTTTGCTTGTTTGTGTTTGCAATAGATGCAGGTGCAGCAGGTGGGACCGATGTGACC